CTGGAAAAAAGCCAGATTCCTCAGCTGAAAGGAGCCAGCCACAGAAAAAGACCTGTTCATTGCTGTACCTACACATATGCATATTGGAGTTCTCTGTTTGACTGCAAATTAAGTGATAACCATACAACATCTGGTAAACCACTATGGCTGACATGGAGGGGGGGGCAAGAGGCATGCTATAGCCAATGAAATACAGTTCAACTCACTGCACAGAAAAAGCAAATAACTGTACTCTTGCCAAAACCAGGAGAAGACACACATCACATTGCAACCAGCACAGCCTTCCCACAAAATGCAAGAGACAACAAAATGCTTGCAAAGCACAAATTCATGTGACATTGGAACTGCACACGCCACGTGTGTGTGTTGTTCCTACAGTTGTGAAACCCTAAAATGCAGTGCAACATTAAGATGACTGGAAATCAGTTATTCGATACACTGCAAGCTGCAAGGACAAATCCTTTCATGGCTACCATAGTCCTGCACTGTAGCAAGCTCAGCAGCAGGAGAACATCATTTAGTGCAGGAGTCACTGAGCGTGGAAGAGATTACTACAGCTGGCTGAACACAGAACATCATCTTCTACCTCAGTTTACATCCACAGGAGAATATAGAGGATATCCATTTACTGGTATTAATTTTACCAATCCTGAAGGGTTTTTTGGGTGGTGCTGAGGGGTTTTTTTGTTGGATATTTTGCTGGGGTTTTTTGTTTGGTTTTTGGTTTTGTGTTTTGGTTGGGTTTTTTTAGAGCATAGGGAAAGGAAGCTAAACAGAAAGTGGTTTGAGAATCAAAAACACAGAGCAGCCTCTGGCTTCAACTCAGCAACCCCTGCCTCCCTGGCTGGTAGAAAAGCAAACAGCAAGCGCACAGGTCTTCCTCATCCAGCCACCACCTGAGCTGGGTGAAGCAGAGCAAAGCAAAAAGGAAGCCTTTCAGGCAGGCAAACCATCTGCCATATACTTCTGCTGCGCATCAAAAGGGCAGCAACAGATGTTCCTCTTCTGATGAGAGCTATCCACTGCTTCTGGTTTGGACTTTGCTAGCCCAGGTTATAAAAGCAGGCCCTAGAGGCACAGATATATATTCAGCAGACCTCCAGAAACCGAGATGCTCTTAGAGTTCTTACTCTAGCTGCTTCTGAGACGCTATTCCCCATAGCTGTAAAAGACATCTGAAACAGTCATAATAACTCAAGGTTCAAAAGAATCAGCAGTAACTTCATATTGTTGCCATTTCAGCATTATTTGCTTCCAGTAGTACCACCCCCCCCTCCTCCCCACCCCCAAAAATCCAACAAAAAGCCCCATCCTTCTACCATCTGGGTGCTTCATCACGTACTGAAGCAAATTGTTACTCCCTCACAAAAATCACAGTCAGAATTCATTAGTCTATTCCCTCACCACCTACCATTTCTCACACTAAATGGAGAATATCTGCAATCTTAAGCAATCAAGTTTCTAAGGCAGAGAGCAAAAATTTGGTATTAGAATAGTCCATCACCACAGGCCTCTCCTTCCTTCCTCCCACCCACAACCTTAGAGGGGAAACAGTTACAGCTCACTGGGAACAGAGGGAAAAACCTCCCATTCAGCAAATCAAGCTCATGCAGATTGCCCTACAGAAATTCCTTCTTGGGCCAGGTGCAAATGCATGAAGAATACTTGGTACATACACGTTTGCACCCCAGCTGATCTTGCCCTCTTACTGGGACAAACTAAACCATCCTAATAAGAGAAATGTCAGCAAAATTTGTCAAAAGGCTATTTCAGAAGTTAAGAGGTCCAAAAGTCAAAACGTGCTAAAATTCTCCAGAAGAGAAAATGCTGACCTACCTCTAGGTGAGGCTACCCAGCTGCCCTCCTGCAGAAAGAGGCAGCAGCTGTCAAAGGATTCTGCAATTAAGAAAACGAGACACTGACATGTATTGACAGTTCTGGCAATGTTAAGGTTAATTTAACCTCCTCAAACTGTGTCCGCTGTGCTCAGACTACTATTTCTTCCTCTTCAGCTTGAAAGACTTGTAGCTCTCTAGACTCCCCCTCCTGCAGATGAGGAGGGATGAGAAGCAATGTACTGCAGCCACCAATGCCAAACTGTGCTGGTCTGTAGATTGTGCGATACAAAAAGACTTGCCATGCTGACCTGAATATACAGATTTTACATCCTCTTCACCAAAGCAGGCACCTAACTACCTTGACTCACCTAAGCTTACGTGTGCTACATCTTGGCAACATTCTCATCTCCCAAAAAGGATGACGCCCAATATTCAAATCCCAGGACCAGGACAGAAGAAATCCTTCTTCTGCTATCTTGCTAGTAAACTTTTTTCTAAAACAAAACGAAACAAAAAACTCTGTATAACAAACCTATTCTGCTAAGTTATTTCACAATGTACCTAAAGTCCTAAATAATTAGAAGTTAAGTTAGAGGACTTTGCACACTCATAACAACAAATCTTGCCCACCTAATTTTCCAAACAAGTTGAGAACCCACATCCAACTACACACGTGTCATTTGGCTAGCAAGGAGGACTTAACTTACATTAATGAACACATGCCTTCATTAAACATAGTTTTAAGTTTAGCAATATGACAGAATAATCTATTGAAGGAGGAAAGGGACAGGATTGAAACTGCAGACTCAGTTATTTCTTGCTACTTATCACTAACAAATTAATACAAATTAAAAATCAATACAGCAGGATAGTGCGAGACAAATGCTAATGTCTATGAAGAGGAGATGTGTTAGAGCCATCATCCCTGTGCTGCCAGGCACATCACTAACTCTGCAGGACTGGAGAGGACAGGGCCAAGTTGCTTTCCCCATCAGCAGCAGAATTGCATCAGCTTTCCCTCTGCACTCGATTTCCTATTCTCTCATGCCCAAACCATCATCATCTTACGTAGACAGGACTGGTACCAACTTTGAATTTACTATAGTGAAGAAGCTTGTCACAGGGCTACTCGAGCTATTTGCCTCTGTCATTAAAAATGACCACAGAGTGAAAGGGAACACATTTATAATATTTCATCTTAAGCATTTTATCCTAGACTATTTGCAAGGCCACTGATGACTCCAGTAATCTTGGGTCAGTCAAAATCCAAATCTCAGCCTCAGGTGGAAAGCTGAAAATGAACGCAAAGGATCTAACATGTGACACTAACCACGCACCATGCAAGAGCAGTTTTTCCATTCTTCAAATGTGACTTCAGCAACACTTGTTGAAGTTACTGTGCAAAAATCAGTATGAAAATAGTATATAAAGCTCCTGGACAGAAAAAAGTTTTCCTCACAGGTGCTTAGCATAAAGTTACATTTTGAGAAATTTATTACAGGGTTGCACTTACCACAAGAAGGAAGAAGGAAAACTGGTGCCATGAGTTGAGAGAGACTTCTTCTGTATAACCTGCAATTTAGGCAGGTTTCATACACAAAATGCAGAAATTTCACCACCATGGCAACTCAGAAAATATTCATGAAGGTGACTTGCCACATATTATTTAAACTGGATTGATACCCTTTTATTTTTTAATTGCTCTAGGTAGGGAGACCTTCTGAAAAAACAACAAAAAAAACACATCACTTTTACATTCAAAAATATCAATCCTCTTTTGGTTCCGTAGCACGTCTCATAAGCACGTCTCATAAGCCCATACTTATTCTCCTATCAAAAAGGCAGCTACAAATACCTAACCTTCCAAGTATTTAACAGAATTAAGCATGTATTTAATTTTAATTAAAAAAAAAAAAAAAAATCAGGCATCTTTGCCTTCTCAGTAACTCCCCACCCATGGAATTGATCCTTAAATCCTGGAGTTGTTTCCCCTTTAACGTAGACAACTATCTTTGCATGCATACGTAAAGATGACAGTCCACTGTACCCTCTTTCCAACTACTTCATAGCAACCTAAACATTTAATACATATTCCTTTAAAGAAATTTGAGTGAATTTATTGTATAAAATTATGATTGGCATGGTACAGAAAAGTTCCTTTTAATGCACATTTCCCATTAACTTGTACACAAATATTACAAGTATCAAGCAAAATGCAAAAGTCTTAAGAACTAATTCCATACTACAAAAGTGTTCACATAGTGAAGTTACTCTGGTTACAAAATGTCATGGAAATAAAAGCACTTCAAAATACATATTTGGGAAATGTTCTCGAATAATAACACAACCTTTAAGTTAGTTTAAAAACGCAAAGAGATACCCTCTTCAAAACACTATTGTTGATTTGGCAAGATGGAGCAAAGTTCAGATCAGTTCATTTACTGAAGGATTGTTCTTTCCAAGAAAAACAAAATTAAAAACCTTTAGTTAAGAAAGGGCTCAATTATACTATGATGACAAATAACGCCATCAAAAAGTTATCTGGCTCTCTTGTTTTCACACAGGAGCTGTCAGAGGCAGAGATCCGTAAATGAACACTTCCAGGTATATAGATTGCCTTTTCAAAAACAAACGAACCAAAAAAAATACCAAGCCCCAAAACAACAAAAAGAAGACAATCTGAACTTTGTTGTTTCATTTAACTAGTTCAGTTCCTTAGGTCACAAGACCCAAGAACAGCGGTTTGCAAAGGATACATACTTAAAGAACAAAATTGAACTTCCACTACCAAGGAATGCGTAGATGTCAAGTTATGCAAGTACTATACATCCTCACAGTAAGGCTGTTAGAGGCTATCAGATCTCTGCTTCCCAACGACCTTGAAAACCTGCTATTCTCAACAAGACAAAAATGCTTGAATGCAACAAACAACCTTACAAAAAGGAGGCACCATCATACTATTAGAAAACAACAAAATTTTGAAGACTGAAATCATCCTTGAAAACCTACACAAAATAACTACAAAAATAAGCAATACATTACATTATTTTTGTATCAGATGACTTGTATGTATTTGAGCAATTCAACATTGGTACGTATTTCTACATGAAACTCACACCTACAAGACATCATGTTCAGGCATTATTGTTGTTTTCTTTTTACACACACACACAAGTTACTATCGGGTTATCCAGTCTATTCAAATGCAGTGAAAAACAGTCCACAGCACACATAAAAGGAGCATTATCCAATACAGTGTTGTCTTGCAAAAATGGAGTCAGAATTCCTGAGTCTCAGAGACATTACTGTCCTCCTCTGTTACTGGATTATTTATTTTTCCAAGGAGAACCTCTAGTTTTCATATCTTCACTCTGATGAAATTTATAATAGATTGCATCTTTTAAAAAATGTAGAACTTTTAGCAAAAACATGCCAACCAAAGTGAATTTTTAAAGCTTTTTAAAGGGAGGGGGGGTTCACTTACAAAATAAAGGCCACCTTCATGTACGATTGGTACTGCCGGTATCCCATCACTTTGTTTAAAGGAGAGATTTAGCTTCCTATTCTGGAAGCCTTATTACATGCAGTCATGCGAGTTGAAAAACTCCATCCTTTTAACAACTAAAAATATTATAAATAGGACTAACGTGGAACAGCCCTGTGTTACAATCACCAAGGTGGTAAAACCAAAGCAACAATTAAGTCATGAAGTCTCCTTCAAACAGTCACTGCAATCTATTATAACTTCTGTATTTTCCCTTTTACTTTGCATATTACACAGTGTAACTTAAAATGTTATTTAAGAGCACTTCAGTCCCACAATGTAGGATTTAAGCTTGTGTGAATACATACGCATGGCTCTGCAACATTTTTAATGACTTACAAAAATACATTCAACCAAAACTTTATATAGGGTTCTCTTTTTTTTAAAATCAAAAATGAAGGAAAAGCCAAAAGGTCCCATCATTAGCTAAATAATACACTCCAAGTTCTAGAAGCAATTCCAAAGCAAAAGCACATTCAAGAATAACATACATTGAATTGCATACTTTCTCATTCATCTTTATCAGTAATAAAATTCTACTGCATATAATTATTCAGCCTTATAAATAATGCAAAGCAGAAAAATATTTACCTCTGTGCTACTTTTCTCAATTTATAGAAGCATTTCTCAGTTTATAGGAGGCAAAGGAAAAAAACCTAAAGTGCAGACTACAGGCCATGACAGGCATAATAAATGACCAAAGGTGCAGCCAAATTTGCATTTACATCTTAAGTTACTTCATCATCTTTCTTTTCTTGCTAGAAGTCACCCCATGTGCAATTGAAGAGCTGGTCAGTTGGTTTGTGCCACAGTACAACCTGTAACCACTTGTAATTTTTTTGAAAACTAGTTGAATTGTCCATAGATATTTCTAGGCAATAGCTTAGGTTCACAAAACCTTACTTTATTAATACTTGAAATCACACAATATTGACACCTCCTCCAGAGAATGCTACTGTCCTTTTGTTGCAGTATGTGGTTGAACCACTGATGCTTGGTTGACTGTCTTTAACAAACGATGTCTTCATTTCCATTTCGCACGCTACAATAGCTGCATTCAGTTCCACTTGAGCTCGGTGAACAACATAAAACATGAGTCCTATACTTATGACAATCTGCAAATAAAATAAAAGAGTGTTGCAGGCTACATAAACTGTAAGCATGAATACAAAGCAACTCTTCTGAACAAAACAAAAAAGTCGTCGACACAAAGATTCATGGAGGCATTTGTTAACTCAATGCTTCACAGGCAAAACATTAGAAGGGAGATAAACTTAACCAATGAGTGGCTCTAAACCTACATATGCTAACAATGTAACTAGCATCTCAGAACATAGTCATTACATAGAACTTAAATATTTATATGAATTGAAAAGATGTTTTCTTTCTTTCCATCGACATCCACATACTTGTTAGAAAGCAATTCCTTCACCTTCTCTCTTGGCAAAAATATTTCCACAAATTAAGTGGTGTATTTCTGTAAGTCAAAAGGCCTGTTGTTCTCCATGTACCAAGTGAATAATAGGTTGAAACTGTACTGAGCATCTGCAACTTGCAAAACAGCAGAGACAGAGGATGATGCACAGTAAAGGAAATAAAACTTCTTGTCCTTGCCCCTCTGGTATGGAAGATAGCAGAGAGGAGCAGTGTCACTGTGCTTCTCGGATATCAGGACTAAACAGGACAGATCAGAGTTTCTGAGCGACTTATAGTAGTCTGTATGGGAAGAACTTGGTTTCTGGAGGATGGCTCGGGGAGGGGACAGGATGTTGGTGGTATGATTTTGGGGTTTTTTTTTGTTTTAAGGAGGAAAGCAGCCTTTGGTTTCAATAAAACACCAGTTAAATTTTCAGTTGAGATACTCCTTAAAAAAAAAAAATCTTCAAATAAAAAAAAAAAAATCCATCTGTCTCATAGTGACAGTCCCATTGAAAGAAGCAAATTCCTCTGCCTTTTTTAAGAATGTTTTATGAAACTAGCTGGAATCTGCAACTTCCTTCAAAAAACCAAAAAGGTTATATTGTTTACAACAGAACCTAAGTTTTTACTCCAAAATGTGAACTTCATTATTAATTGGGGTTAATAGGGTTATGTTTTAACATTAAGGACTATCACTTAAAGCATCTGCCAGCATGGCATAAAAGATGCTAGAATACGACCAAGATGATTGACAAGTACAGTCATAGGATAATTGCAGCTGGAAGGCATCCCTGGCAGTCTCTATCCCAACCTGCTGCTCAGAGCAGGGCTGGCTGCAAGATCAGACCAAGGCTGCTCAGGACTTTTGTCCAGTCAAACCTTGAAAACTTCCAAAGATGGAGATTTCACAACCTCTCTGGGCAACTGCTCCGCTGCTTGACTATCCTTGTGGTGAGAAAGATTTTCCTCACAAATTCAAGTTATACATTTCCAAAACTGGCCAATGTAAGAGTCAAAAACAGACTACAGACACCGAATTCTGAATACAGAGGAAAAATCCTATTCTAAAAGCTTAGCCAAATATTTAAATTTGTCTTCTTTCAGAAATATTACTACCAGTAACCTAGTTCCCTAGATGAGTAATTTAAAAAAATATATACACACAGACAACTATGAAATGTGAAGGATTTTTAGAGTTATTTACTAAATCAAAGTCCCATTAAAGCCCAGCAAGGCAAAGCACCAGGTAGATGCCTGAAAGTGGGAGAACATAAGTAATTCCTCCACTAACAGGCTCCCCTTGACTTAGGTCCCAAGGATTACTCTCAAGGAGGTGAGGACTCCTATTCATTCAGCCTCTCCAGCTAGCACTTACCTAACTGACAGTTATAATCCACAAAGAGGAGCCAATGTCATTTAAAAAAAAAAAAAAAAAAAAGGGAAAAAAAGGGAAAGACCACTAAAAACTACTACCCTGGAAATAACATTTCATGACTAAAACGAAAGCTGATCAAGTAACCATTTATTTTCTCTTTGATCTATTGATCACATTTACAAAGGCATTTTTAATACTCATAAACCTGTCGTATGAAGTATATAAATTATATGTTTTTTTTAAGAACACATAATTTGGGGGGGGGGGGCAGTTAAAATGGTTCTAGCTTAGTTTTCTATCTTAGCATTGTTAAACGTCAGCTTTATGACTGTAAAAACTGAGGAAGATAAATGACTGCAGTACCAACTAAAAGTCTGCAAACCATGGTAACTGCTGGTCAAACACAGCCTGAAGCACCAACGCTGTCAGAGCAGGTTTTAATATATAATCTGGTTCTGAAATACTCACTATCTCTGTGCTCGTAACGGTCTCAGACTTAAGGATTACCGCCAAGATTTACTGACAAATTATTTCATTGGCTAAGCTCATGTAAAGGTACTATATACTTTTCACAAATTTACTCACTTGCAAAATTAGGTGCATTTCTACAGCACTTTTCATCCTAAATACCTATGCAAAATCAGGAGTGTTCAACGCTAATAGGGAACACTGAACAGGTGCTGGGTCTAAGCACCCTGAGCACACTACTTCACAGTCAGTGGCACATCAGCTTTTGTGTAGGGGGGCGTTGACAAGTCTACAATTCAGCAGGAAATTACCACAGAGGGCAAGAGAAGAAAACTTGACAAAACTGTGGCAGAAAGAGAAAAAGAGAACACTGAGTAAGTTCTGGTTTGTGTCACGTGAGGTATGAAAGAATTAAATTTTTCTAACAGAAGAAAGCAAAATCAAAAGAGAACAGTACACTGGAAACCCATTTCCCTGGGTATCTAGCAGTCAATAAGCCTGTGAAAAAGAAACGTCAGCTCAGTTTTACACAATCTACTGAAAATACCAATAACAGAGCTATACATCAAACACTTTTTAAAACCTGTTACTTTTCAATACCACATGCCATACTTGCTTGGCTCTCAGTCTGTAAGAGGTTGGCTGCCTCAGACTAGGGAGCTGTTATGCCAACAAAGAGCAGCTCTTAAGCCCTGAGACATGCATTGCCCCAAACCTCCTGCAGCCCACCCCTTTTACACTGCAGGCTGTACAGTCTGAAAGAGAAATCAGCAGTGCTGAATCTCTCTACATCTCATACATGTTCCTACAGGCATGCAGTTTCCCAAGCTAAGATTCAATGACTTGAAGAGACAAAGCTACAGGAAGGAAACTTGCCTACTGTCTCCAGAAGCAAAGTCCTGTCTTGAATCCCACTGGTACAGCAGATGAGCAAGAAATTAGGGGGATAAAGAAATAAACTCAAACACAAGAAAACGACTGTTTCCAAGAATCATTGCTTACCCAAACAGTCAGAAACTGACATTACTGTTACCAAGGTCTATGAGAGCAATTATTTTCTTACCTGTAAACTGAATATAAAATAGCCACTAACACTTTGTTCTGCAATCACATCCTCCATGGTGCGCAAGGTAGTGCCCAAGTATGAGTTTAGGAGCTGAGTAGGAAGCAGCCCAACTGAAGAAGCCATCAGGTAGTTCGGTAGTGACAAATCTGTAATCTGAGTAAAAGAAAGTGTAAGAAAGCGAGCACAGCTCCAACACAATCTAGATGCAGAAACCACCAGACTGCTGCTCCCACAAGCATCCATGCAAAAAAATGAAATCATTTATTACATTCCTTCACTGAAACTTTCCACTGTATGTGAATCTAAGATAACACAATAAAACAGTACGTGGCTAGTTTTCATCTGGCCTTTTTGAAGTTACTAGGTTTTATTTCATTTCATCTTACATTACACAACGTCTCTGTGCAAAGGTCATTAACTACGGATGCAATTACACTGTTCATTGAAGATGTTTATTTCTTCATGGTGAACGGAGCCCTACAATTTATGAGAATTTGCTTGCAGGAAGAAATTACTTTACCAAATGTGAAGGTCTAAAGCAAAAATCTATTTGCTTTGCTTTTTACATGTATGGCAACTAATAAAAGAGGTAACTGTTCAAAACGTCACTGTATTAAATATGATCTAGGTAAACAGAATGGCAGATATGATTTGCCCCTGCAAGGGAAGTTATATACTCACTAAGATACATATATCTATCAGTGATCTCTAGTAGCAATATCTATTATCTATCAGTGACACACATTGGTATCATTAAGATTCTCTACCAAAGATATTTTGTGTCACACTTTAATTAGTGAAAAAAACCAGTACATGGGGCTATAGCTGTTTGCTAGTTTCTCTGGAAAAAAACACTAATAATACTTCAAGATATTTTCCTCTCTTTGCTGTGAAATTTCTGTTCTGAGTCAGTATGTGGACAGTTTACAAGGGAACAAAGTACACAGCACTAGCTAAATTAGTACCAGCAGCCATCGGGAAATATTAAATTCAAGAGCCAAGAGGCCAAAAGATATTTACACAAGAAAAATGAAAACAGGAGGAAACTATGGGTTAAAAATTAGTATGAAAAGGGTGATTTTGAAAGAAGCAGCCTAAGGAATTTTCCAGACAATTCAGTTGATCACATCTTAATAAAACAAGTTCTAATTAAGAACAGCCCCTAACACTGGGAGGCTACATTGAAATTATTGACCTTGACAGTTTTGTACAATGTCAAAGACAAGAGAATAGCAGCAAAGTTACTCATTTCATCATCCTATTCTTAAAATAAACTTTGGTTACTATGAAAGTCACAGTGCTGAATTCTCAGAGCTCTAAGAACCATCAGTGTTAAGTTTCTGGGAGGACAGAAGGGCAATGGCGGAGGAGAACGCAGTGAAGCATAAAGATTAAGAATAATTCACTGGAACAAGACCCATTAAGCCAATTCCAAACTTCACACCGCAAATTACACGTCCCACAGACTGAAATACATACAAGCAACGCAAATAATACATTTCCCCTTCTATAAAAGATTAATTTAGATTTTGAATGAAAAAGCACTATGGAATTATGTCAGAACTTCGTATTTGACTGATGCTTTGAGAAGTCTTACTTTTTATTTATTTATTTAAAACTTTATAGTAATCTCGGCCATGTAATAAGAATGCACAACCAAAACTTCCCATATTGGCAAGGGAATGAAGGAACTGCTATTAAAAGTCTCTGAAATACTAATGCTGAGGCAAGATTTGCTAAGTAGGACACTGTCATTAAATCTAATGGAGCTGGGAAACTTCCCAAAGATTGTTTTAACTCCCAGGCACCTCTTTCATTTCTGTATACATATTAAGGACACTTTGGTTGCAGAGCAACACGTTTGCACAGCTGGATCTGTCCTGCAGCAACTGGACCTCCTGGGCGATGAGAGAGACTGTTTCCAAAGGGGAGGCTGCCAATGGACACGCTGGACTGAGACTTGTGCTTCCCACTAAAATGAAAGTCAAGGGCGGGGCGGGGGGGGGTGGAATTTACAGGTGCCCTTTTAACTGCTGGTTTGTAGGGTTTAGACCTACAGTGGTATCCTTTCCCCTGGAAGGCAGAGGAATTGGACAGCATCCCTACCTAAGAAACCTGAGAAATTTTCAATAAAACTTACAGCTTTCCATGTGTTTCCTTCTACGAAACTTTACCTGTTCTAGAAACCTGCCAGACTGGGGTCTGTGTGGCCAAGCTGCCAAACAGAGGCTACCACGACTCTGTTTCTACAGAAAGCTCAAGCCAACAGAAACTAACAGTGAAATCCCAATGCAAGCATGGATGCAATTGTTATAGGCCATACCGATGTGTTAAAACAAAACTAAGAACTACCTAACCACTCTGGTAACAAAAGTGTTAGCCAGAAATTCTCCCACTAAACCTTGGACAGGCCTTGTCCAGTAAAACTTTTGTGTATTCTTTGCAGCTGACACCTTTGGATCAGTCCTGTCAAAGAATAAATGCTTGTGTCAGGACTTTGTTGGGAGCTCACATGCCTTTGGGGATTGCAGCAGATTTCTCACCCCTCAATTTATGAAATCCTGTGTTTCAGATCAGATAGCAACCGAGACCAAAGAACAATTCTGATGCTCTTTACTTTCTCCAGAAAACCCCACCAAAAAACCCAGGTAGCAAATAAAAAACAAACCAAAAAATAGCTAGCAACTTTTCAACAAGCAAAGTAAGCAGCCTGCATGTTCCTGCAAAGCAGGTACCATTTCTTGAACTCTGATTTCACTGTGTGCCTTTCTCGAACCGGAGATGCACACTGGGACACATTATTTCCTCTGTACAATACTCCTCTCAGAGGAGAAAGAAGAAATATGAATTCTGATCTAAGCTACACCTGGCACTGCAAATAATCAGTCTGCACAAATCTAGCTCCAGGGACCCAGTAGTGGGAAGGAGGTGATAACCTGCATACCAGGCCTCCTTCCAGACCTGCCTTCAGAACACTCAGCTGTCAAGGGGAGAGGGCTGCGCATGGGCAAACACTTAGTAAGAGCTATCAGGCCACCCTGGCACCACAGGAACGATAAGTAAGCAAAACCCACTCAAAGAGAAATACAAACATGCTTTCAGTTAAGAAGTTTCTAGGTCTTCCAGAAAGGCAAGTAAATACATTACCCCAATGCTCCTACTATCAGCTCTTTCCCAAAGAGCAGCAGAATGACCTTAAGAAGCAAGATGTTCATGTCTGGCTGGTGAGAAACTAAGACATCCGTGTTAATTTTCTTCTTGTGCTGTTTCAAATAATATGATCCCATCACTAATCAAATGCTAGGAAGCTCTTCCTTCCTTCTGTACGCTCCTCTGCAATTCAACCTCCCCAGAACCCTCAGCAGATGGTACACACCACTGAACAAGTGCTTGTAGAAACTCATTAGTCCCAGCCCTGCAGATGACCCCTCTCACATCAAGGTTATGCCTTGTCCTGGACCTCATGTGTCACTTCCTCCCTTCCCTCTCATTTAAGCATTCTCAGTATCTCCAGTTTACTTACAAATATGCACAGAGAAAACATGCATAGACCAGACTGCTGGCAAATTAAAGATGTGCAGGTTTTCTTAACTTCACTGTTCTTTCTTCTACTATTAAGAGCAATCCTTTTCAAATTCATTCCTGAACTTGCTAGCACAGGGAATGGATAGATAGTTAGGGCACCCCAAATCCCCTTGCATTATAAACACAAGTAGACCATTAAATTTTCAAATAAATCAGTTTCAAAGAAATGACAACTCAGGCTGCGTAGGCAGAATTTTGTATTCTATACGTAGCTTAAACTTGACTCACAGCGAGAAACTGCCTTGAATCCCCAGATTTGCATGCAACATTTTATTTTGCAGTAATCTAGTAGTTCATACTAAATGTTCTCGGTTAAAAATTGAGCACACTGTGCTTTATTTGACTATGCTGCAAAGTAATAAATCCAGAATAATAAATGTAAACCAAACTAATTTTAGCAGGCAACATTCAAGTTATCTGGCATACTCAAGAATCTGGTTTCATCTCATTTCCTATCTGTTATTTTAATACTGATACCTTCCACTTGGAAAGAAAATTATTTAGCTTGCGATACTTAGAGAATACAAAGCACTGATATACAGCATCATTTTAATATTGCACTGGCCTGAATACTCTGCTGAATCTTGCTTCCAACAGAATGGTTATGCCAGGAAGGAAATCATTTTAACTCAGTAATTCTCTGGTCAGTTCTTCATATCCAGTACTGCCCTACAGCATCTGCTGACTACTTCAAGTGATGCCCAGAAGCTGTGAACAACCAAAGCACAACAGCTCTCCCCACTTTAGGAGAGTCACACTAGAGAAGAAGCTTCATCTGCTACACCAGGACCTTGGGCTCCAGGGGTACTCTGCTCCTGGCTGCATGGGTCTAAGCTTCCTCAGTCCTGCAGTAACACAGGTAAACAAATAAAACAGCTGAGGGTCTTCTCATTCATAACAAGGAAATGGTTAACAAATCTGCTTAAAAAGAAATTATAAGTTGCTACAGCTTTTATCGGCAGGAGATTGCAGCTCACGAGGCAAATGCCCCAGCGCACACAGTTTTATACACAGCAATTTTAAATATTTGTTGTGGGTGTTAACCCCTAAAAATTGTGTGGATTAATTTTTTCTTAAATAACAAATTTGGTATTCAGTGACCTACTCATTTCAACCAGATGATTCTGCCAAAATTAAGCAAGCGCTTCAGAAGGGTACAGGATCAGGAGTGCTGATGGGGGATGGAAAGCGTGCTATAAGAAAGTGGCACACCAAAACACTTGTTTATAGGGTCTCTTACATTAAAGAAGATAGGAGTTACTGTTAAACATTGTGAAGTATTTCACAATCTGGTTTGCTCTGTTTTGATTTCACCGAGCTAGCAGACACTACTGAGGCATAACACACAGCCAAAACCATATCCTTCAGCCAAAGCATTCAGGAAGAACTGACGGTCTGAAATTGTCATCATCAGCATGATGGCACTCAAAAGCAATACCCTCTACATTCGTCTACACTTTCCCCTTTAAGATGATCAAAGAGAACAGTGAGATCATAAGTTTTAAATAATTTTTCTTAGAGAATGTACCAATCTTCATCTAAAAGTAGAAAGAAAAGCAAGTCCAACCCTTTCCCAAACTCAAGTTTAAATTAACTTTCAGTACCACTCCGGTGTACCAAGTCCCTTTTCAGCTGTGAGCCTACATCTTAATGCTCTGTCCAAACTGCGCAACCTCTCTTGTGTCCATGGACTTAACACTCTTTATGGATTTGTTAGATGTATGCTACAAACAACCACCAAACTGAGCAAGAATTTTAATCTGTCCGCTTCTTCCTTTCCAATATGGTTATTTATATTAAGTAGCTGAGGGAGACCTGGCAAGACTGCTTAAAAATCCAACTTTTCCTCCACTCAGATCACTTTAAAAACACAAGCACTTTAAAACTGCTGCGTTCTCCGCAGATTTTGCTACACAGCTCTTTGGTGCTTCTTTCTAACACCAGAACAGAGTCTCAAAAGCCGGACAGCAACTCTAACGCAATGCCACCGAACGAGGCACCTCGAGAACCCGCCTGCCGTCCCTCCGCAAGCGCGGAAGAGCCACTCGCAAGAGCAGGCAGGGGGGCTGCTTTTACCGTTGTTAAAAGAGAAAGAAACCAAAGTTTCATCCGGGGAAAGGGGGCAACCTCCACCAGCCACCCTGGCCGCCACGCTGCGAGCCATCCTCCCAGCCAGAGCGTCCTCCTTGGCCGCAGCCACGGGGCTGGGGCACGCGGCCCGGGCCGGGACTCACCGCGAAGACGGCGTTCTGCAGCCCGAAGGGGATCGGCGTCAGCCGTGCCAGAGCCACCACCTTGAGGCCGCCGCCGCCCTCCACGACGCGGACGATGGCGCTGAGCGTCTCGCTGCCCTGGATCCTGGCCCGCGCCCAGCGGGCCAACAGCCGCTTGCAGGCCACGTGGGCGACGAAGGTGCCGACGAGGACGCCGAGCACCATCAGCCCCATGCCCAGCACGAAGCCGTAGAGGTAGCCGGCGGCCACGTTGAGCAGGATGTAGCCCCATCCGCAGGGGAAGGACACGACGACGAAGCCCACGGTGAAGAGCAGCACGCCGGCCAGGCTGTCCAGGCTCTCGGCCCAGAGCAGCAGGTCCCGCAGGTACTGGCGCACCAGGGCCAGCGAGGCGAAGCAGAGGGCCGCCAGGACGCACACGCTGAGGCAGCTCTTGCACCAGCAGGTGCCCAGGAGGCAGCAGGAGCAGCGCCAGCCCCGGGCCTCGGCCAGCCCGGGCCCGCCGCCGCCGCCCG